GGATGGTACAGATGTAGTAGTTACTTTATATTTCTTACAAAAAAAAAAAAAAACTGAATGACTACCAAGAACAAGCAATGTTCAGAAGCAAGACATTAATTTTTCGAGGTCCCTATGTTGCATGTTTACTAGACAAAATTCCCACTGAAACCAATGAGAGTTATGCCCGAGGAAGAAATGAAAATAGGGCTCTCTTGAGGATCATTTGAGATTAAATGGTTTATTGTTTTTGGTCTCAGAGAGGAAAAAATGGAGCATATGAAAGCTACTAAAGCTCTTGCTGTTCATATTAATCACATGTGGCACATGATTTCTATTATATACTATAATACACAGATACGAGTATTTGATTTTTACTTTTAGTCATAATCAGATATATATTATTTGGATGGACAGTCAATTTACTATTTCTACTTAAATGTAAAAAAATAGCTATTTACCGTAAATCATATTTTTTTCATAATTGGGTCAAAATGTAGCGGCAAATAGTCAAAAATTAATCCATCAGAAAAAATAATTTAAAGTATTCTAGAATGAGGAGAAAATGCCACTTGATCTAATAAATAAAGCAATTCAAACCATTCATGAATGCTACAAGGATATATGTACATATTTTACAGCATAAATTACTGTACAGAATATTCCCATTTACTAAATTGTTCAGTTGTGTAAACAATATTGCCTTTTATACAGGGACATGTGGAGGGGTGGTACTTATGTTGTGTAGGTACTAAAAAATGTAAAGTCCAGAATGATCTCTTGAAATTTGCTGCAGTATTGCTTTGGCTGTCTGGGTGATGGCTCCAGTACAAAACTAGAGCACCATTGGAGAGACACATAAACCAACATTTATAGGAGCAGAGCTAAACTGATATTGATTCTAATAATATTATGATATACAGGAATTTGCTCACAGTTGGCATAAATGAGATTTGGAATTACGCTCTCTACATCTGGGTACAAAAATAATTCTAGTCATAAAACAGGAGACTGTACAACTAGGTCAGACAGCCACTATCAGTTACAGACTGGTTCTACCATTAGTTAACATAACAGACAGGAAAGTTACTGCTACTGTGATTATTGCTACAGATTGGTTTAAAAATTGCACATACAGCCAGTCTATGTTAAAGCATCCTGTTTTTGTTATCCTCGCTCCCTCCCATTTACTTGTTTGTCTCATACACCTGTAATGTATTATTTTTCAGAATGGAGGCTCTTTGGGGGGTAGGCACTGTCATTCCCTCTATCTTTACCACTGCCTAATGCAAAGAGATCCTGACGTGGTTGAAGCCCATAGGCACCACTGCAATACAAATGTTAATTAATCATAATAGTAAATATAGGAACAAGAAGAAAACTGATGTAAGTGAAGTTTGAATGTTTTAACAGCCATACTTTCCAACAGTGGGTTTAAATGAATCTAGTATGGCCAGTATTTAATGGAACTACATACAAAGATTAATTCACAAAATATTAAAATCTGAAGGCCATGTTCTAGCTGTTAGTTGTACACAAAACTTCTATTGACTTGAATTGGAGTGCTATAAGGATCATGTAGAGCCCACCATTAATGCTCAGTTGTTCAGCAAGGAGAAACTCACAGTTTTGTCCAGCTGGGTTTGTGCTCATGTGCTGCATGATGAATCAAAACATGCCTCTCAGTTTCCATAAAAAGATGCAATGTACATCTCAGTTATAGGGTACCAGAATTCACATAATACAGGTCTGTGATGAAAATAGCCCAAATCTTTTTTTTATGGCTCACACAAAAGCTTCTTGACCTGTTTATAGAAAGCAAGGTGTACATGTATGAAGAAATAGTGTACTAGCCCTACATTGCTAAACTGCAACACATAGTCACCTTAATGGCATCAAGGCTCACATTCAGCCTGGGCGTAACTACTAATCTCACTGGATTTGTGCTCACTTATTCCAAAACTGACCTATGTCTAGTATATTTGAGAATGCCCTTGAAAACATCAAGCAAAAAGGTATTTACTTTTTATATGTATTTTTGCAATTTTTCATAACATCCTAGTTCCCAAAGTTATCTGAACCTCATTCTGCAACACAGGACGTGTATTGATGTCTATGGAAATTCCACAATCACTGCAGATACAGAATTAGTCCCTTTGTATTTAAAGTTGGACTCCCATTCCTCTTTATCTTTTTGTTTAATCTTGCTGAGAATTCATGATGCGGAATGTATGACATCTAAGACATAAAATAATAAGTCTTTGCATAGGCAACGTCCAGTGATCTTTGTGCAGATTCATAAAATAGCAATGTCTATTTAAGAAAAAATCATGGCACGAGGCAAGCCCATGTATGTGTGTTAGGTGGTGGAGGTATCACCTCAATCTTCCTGACTACAGTGCCTGCAATATCACATGGAGTATCCAGCCTTGCCAATTCTGAGGATTTCAGTCCCTTCTACAGCTCTGCAGGGAACCCCTCCTTCAACATTTCCCTGCCTCCTGGAGAGGGGCAACCAATCAGAACTTTTGCATGTGACAAGCCAAGCTCTCTCTTTCTCCTCAGGAGAGAACCAAAGTTTTTTGGTAGAGCTAGAGGGAAAAGGTGATACAAAGGGACTGAGAAGGAAAGGGGAACAGAAATAGTTCAGCGTTTCAGAGAGGCTCTGCTCCCTCTTCCCCCTTCTCTTCTTGAGGATGATATGCTGGTTCCTCCCCTTTTCTTCTCTTTATCCTTGCAGCCCAAGGCCTGGAAAATGTGAAGAAAATGTCTGGTGCTGCAG